ACTGCCCAGGCCAAACAGAAGAGGCTGCAGGTGGCCCCCCGTCACCATTCCTTGTGGACAAAGGTCAAAGGGCCTCTCTCACCCACACCTGTCTTCCAGATCCCCTGGACACCCACAGGGCACCTCCCTCAGCCACCAGCTGCTGCCCCAGTGCCCCTTGCCGACTGTACCCTGGACGCTCCTAGGCCCAGACAGGTCCTAGGACAAGCAGGTCACTCAAAGGCGCACACAGGCCAAATAAATGAGGCATGCAGCCCTCGAGTTTGACATACTTGCCCTAGAAGTGCTGGCTGGAGGGGCTGACCTAGTTACTGACTCTTGGCCCTGACCCTGCAGGATGCCTATGACAATGTCACCCTGGACTTGGAGCTGGCTCGCCGAGAGGGCTGGTGTTTTGGAGCCAAGCTGGTGCGGGGTGCCTACATGGCCCAGGAGCGGGCCCGCGCTGCGGAGATCGGCTATGAGGACCCCATCAACCCCACGTACGAGGCCACCAACGCCATGTACCACAGGTGCGCCCGTCCTTCTTAAGTCCCAGAGCCGCAGGGCCACCTGGGGAAGGGAGGGGAGGGAAACATACCTCCTTGGTGCCGGAGCTGACACGATGGGCCCCTATCTGAAGGGGGAGCAGCCCTGGAGACAGCAGCTTCTGGTAAGAGCAAGACTTTTGCCCTGAGGCCAGAACTGATTGTTTTCTGCTTTTGATTTACTTTTTCAAAAACATTAAGGTCGTTTTAAAAATGTCTTTATTGATTTTTTAGAGAGAGGAAGGGTGAGGGATAGAGAGCACACCCCCTATTGGGGACTGAGCCTATAACCCGGGCATGTGCCCTGACCGGGAATTGAACTGGTAACCTCTTGGTTCATGGGTCGACTTTCAACCACTGAGCCACACTGGCCAGGCCAGGTGGCTTTTTTAATATAGAAACGTCGACCCACAAAACTGAACTGGCCTGGGTCCCCGGCAGCTCCTGTTGGTGGCCCAGGTAGCCCTCCCCACACTGCACTCACCTTATTTCCAGGGACCATCACCGTCTCTCGTGCTGCGTTTGTCTGGTGATAGTTCATGCAGGACGGACAGGGTGGTTGTGTGCTGTTTCTCTGCGAGGTGGTGCAAATGTGTTGCAAATTCAAAGACCCCCGAGGGTCTCCCTCACTGACCTGCCTTTCGGCCCCGGCAGCGCCCTCTTCCTTCCAGGAGCTGCATGCGCCTCTCCTGTTCAGACCTCATGGTCAGCATGTGCGCTGTCTTCTGCCCTCGCTTTGCGGGTAAAGCTGTATCTGGATCCCCCAGGTCAGCGTGCAGACCATAACGCCAACACAGGTGCCTGTGCTCATGTGTCCCTGTGAGCTCTAAGGTGCTTGGTGTCCTGCGTTAAGGGTGACCCAAGGCACAGCCTGTCCGTCCTTTGTGCCCAGGGGTGAGGACGAGCTGTGGCTGGCAATGGAGTTGCTGGGTCAGCGGACGTGCACCCTGCCCAGCTGTTTTCACTGCCAGATGGAGGAGTGGTCAGGCTCCCCCAGCACAGGGAGACCCCTTTCCGGACGTGAAGCTGCATCTGTCCTGGGTGCACAGGGCATGTGCCTCAGCTAGTTCCCTCCGATGCCTAACCCCAGTGCTGCTTGCTTTTTCTTTCGTACTCACAGGTGCTGAGAAGGCTGAGTGCCCCTTGTCTTGTCCTGGCACCATGGGTACCTCTAGGAGGAGCGGGCTCGCTGAGTGGCCCTGGGCCCACCTGTGGCCTTTGCCCCGTGGGGAGCTCTCCAGGCCCAGGCTCACGTGCCTCTCCCCCCAGGTGCCTCAATTATGTCCTGGAGGAACTGAAGAACAATGGCAAGGCTGAAGTGATGGTGGCCTCCCACAACGAGGACACGGTGCGCTTCACGCTGCGCAGGTAAGGTGGCCCCGCCCACATTTGTCTGAGTGCTCCCGGGTCAGGGAAGAGCTTGGCGAGACCCTGGAAGCATGTACAGCAAACATGTCAAACTCAAAGGCTAACATGGGCCAAATGAGACATGCGGCCCGTGGGCCGTGAGTTTGACATGCTTGATGTGCAGAGTGCCCTGCCAGGCACGGTGGGTGTTTGGGGGAACATCTGTGGGACAGCGGGAGAGGCGGCTTTAGTGCTTCCCAGACCCTGCCCCACCAGGTCTTGCGAGGCATTGGCACTGCTGTAGCAAAGAGGCTATCTGCAGTTAATTTGGTTTTTAAAATGAATACCTGGCGTACTAGTTTCAAATTCAAAAAAATAAATGTCGTTAGGTGACTTAAATAGCTTCTTAAAATACACAAATGCAGGGTGGAATGCTGAAACCCCTCAGGAAACCTTTGATGCCTGGCCTCTTTAGAGACAATTACTCCTAACATTTTACATGCATTTGGAATTTAACAGAGTCTGTTTTCTCTTTAAATGCCTGCCCTGTGGAGCAAAACTTTGGTGGGATCCTTACAAGTCAGATATAGGAAGCAGGTGAAGCAAAT